ACGGTCAGACCGACGAAATAGGGAAACATATTTTTCGTAATCTAGGGACCCGACAACATGAAAATCTAAATTTTCACGATTACAATGCTTCCCTTTTATCGAGAGAAGTAAAAATAAAATAAGTATACTCAATCTCTTGAATGACCTCTACTAATTTAAAGGTGATGTATCAGTTCCCTTAGTTTTTTTGTGTTTCCTGCTGGCTTTAAAGCTTTAAAGTCACAATATATCTTTTGCTCATACTATACCTAGTATATATTGTAGTTTGTTATGGTAGCTGATAATATTGCATGTTTTATAATGATAACATAAAATAATCATAGCGATGATATCCAATAATAAAACATAACTATTTTACATTATTTAAGTGTGTTAATAAAAATGTACTACCATTGCTCAAGCCGATCGTAAGAGTCGAATAATAGGTTCATATCTATTTTCATAAAAGTAAACAATTGCAGAGTAACGAAGTTAGACTTTTTATTATTTTCTATCTAACGTTTTCAACAACTTTAATAATAAACAAATAGAGAAAAATTTAAAAATCTACTCGTATTATTTTGTTTATCAATAATTTTTTAAATTCCGAGAAAGTGTGATGTCGCTACTTATTGAAAACAAGTTTGGAGCCCGCAACAATTCTGGTTTTTCGTATATAAATACACAATCAGCGAACAAATAGAGAACACTGTATTCCAATTACCGTTTTATTATTATTTTTTTATATTATTCACATACATTAATTTTTTTCGACAAGTCTCATCTTGAGTGCTAATTAATTACCGTACACACATTTTAATGAAACGTATTGAGAATTATCTTTGTTTCTTTTTATACACTCACTCGTTGCGACACCTGCCATGAATACCATAGTGCGTGAACTTTGGACTTTTGGACAAAAATTGCTATTTTGAACCTTAGCGATTCCCCATGTTAATTTACATATGGATTGCGCCCGATTCAGTGCTGCTTCTTGCCTATATCCTTATTTAGATTTGGGCACCCAGTATTATATGAGCCGTTCATTTTTAAAGTGACTTAAGTCCATTTATCTTTAATTTGAAATACCTTAAGGTTTTGCGTTTTTACAAAATTAAAAATATACGTAAGATATATGGTTGACTTACAATGTTAAATCGCATTTAAGGGATTTAATTTTATACATCCTATTAAAAAGTCGCTATTATTAAGTGTATAATATGCATGGGCGAAGTTATGTCATCAGATCTGGGGGGGCTAAAGCCCTAGCCCTAGTCATATAATATATAATAGTTCTAGAGGTATACCTACTGAAGTTAAGTAAAAAAATTCTGGCGAATCTATAAAAATGGATAAAATATCATATATCGATTCTAAACAAAGTTTTGCAAAATTTCAATATTGTGAATTTGTAGATATCCATTTATGGTAAAAAACTAAATTTTACGACTTGCACTTGGAAAATAATGAATACTTCAGTTTTGATTTTGACATTAACACCATATAGATTGCAATTTGCTGGGGACTTTTTCGCAGATTTCATTTTTAACATAAACACTATCACATACTATAAGAAATAAACAAATTTAAAGCTAAAAAGTAAGAAAAACTCGAATTGTAATTGATACAAATTAAAATGTAAACAATGAACTCGTTGCCAAATGATCAATTGATTTTAAAACAAAATTAATAAATGAACTGAAATTGAAAAAAAATTAATATAATAAATCGGTTTTATAAAAAAGTCCTTAAATAAATATAGAGTATGATTACATATTACTATACACAAATTTTGATTCTTAAATAAAAGGTCTTATCCACTTCTTCAAGAGCTAAAATCCGACGACGTTGCGAAATTTTGCTACTTCTGGCAACACTGAACCATATCCTACTTATAGGGACCTTCTACAAATTTCCTCCAGAGGGCGTATCACTTAACTTGAATCGCGAATAAAGATCCTTCCAATTATATCTTCTCAAGGAAGTGTAGGATTTGGAGTGGCTTCAAGTTAGGTAAATCTCCCTCTTCTATTTGATATGCTCCTAGGTATAGTGCCCTTGGATTCTGAAGTGCTACACATTTAGTTAGAATGTGAATGAAGATTTTTTCCTTCTCCTCACAAAATCTGCACTACTCTCAGTTTACTAAGGTGTCATTTTAGTTGGCAATGTCCAGTAAGGATCCCTGTTACAAGTGTTCTCACTACTAGAAACATGTATATTATGATAACAGCTTAAAATACAATCTGGCTAATGTGGAACACCCCGAAAGCCTTGCCAGACTCGTCTAATGACCGTCAGGCGCGCTAAATTCGGCACGTTCGATTACTATTCTTCTCCTCGTTTAACTACCTGGCTTGTCAGGTCCTACCGAAATACGGTTTTATAACCGAAACAGAAACCAAATTTCGGCTCCTTTCTTAGTTTCGGCCGAAACAGAAACAAGAACTTTCTTTTAAGGCAATCTCTTATTAAAATTTGCAATATCTCATTGTAATCCTTGTTTTAGACTAATTAACTAGTATTATAAATTTTAGCTACATTTACTTTTTACCTGTTTATTTATGTGATCAAAAGAAGCCATTAATAAATTTATTGACATGTTCACTTGAAACAAAGCAGAGAAGTTTGTGTGTACGTGCACTGTGTAGGAATGGCACCCGGCACAGTCGCCATTGTGCCGGACACAACATTGTGATACGAAAACTTTTAAAAGTAGTTTCGCTCTCGGCTGCAGTTTCGGCCAGTTTTCCGCCGAAACCGAAACTGTAATCTAAAATATTATTTAAAGCCAAAGTTGGCCGAAACCGTAACCGAACCTTCGGTCGGACACTACTTATGAGTCTGGCAGGCCTCCGTAATTGTAATTGTCAGCCAGACGTGTATTTTCACTTACGAATATTTTGAAACTTATCCTAAGTAGATGGATAATGTTCTTAAAAGTTCTTAAGATATGCGTGAGTGTGCAAAAATTTACTGATAATAATTTAGGCACGTTTTTGGTATTGGGTAAGAAAGTTTTACACCAAAATATCCAAATTTCAAAACTTGACAGACATGCATTAAAACGACTAAAATCAAATTTTCAAAGGTAGCCATACCACAGAATATAAAACATATGTTTTATATGCTGTGGCCATACCATGACCATTTGTCATATTTGAAGTCGTTTAGTTGACGCGAAAAACCTAATTATTATTTTACATAAAATAAATGTAGTGTATTTCTACCTAGTTATAATTGGTATTAAATAAAATATTAACCACTGAAATGGCAAATTTTTTATATGCATGAAAGAGCTGCTCAACTGTCAAAAAGTTTTCAGTATAATTTCGTTAAGGGTACCTACCCACCAAAAGAAAAATTTCCGGAAATTTTTCTGGTTGTCATGAAAGTGTTTTGAAATAACAGCAGTTGATTGGCTATAAAATGGAGGTGTAAAATTATAATTTAATCTATCACGTGACAAATTTTCAAACCCGGGAAAATAAAAGCAAAAATATTATATTTTTTCCATTTAGAAGATATTACCAGACTCATTAGCCAATTTCGTAAATCAGCCAGACTTATTATTATAAACAGTTCATGATTTTATCAATTTATATGTTCAATTTTCTGCCACACTCACTTTCCACTATCTGAGATAATCCAAACTGCTATTTTTATAAGCTTTATGTTCTAGTTTAGTAAATGTAAAATAGTTATGACTAGGAAAATAAGTGTCAGACTCAAAAATTTTGTTTTTTGTCACTAAGAGAACAGTTTATTTTTCGTATACACCGACTGGAAAAATGAATACGAAAAAAATTCACTGCCTCCTGAACTAAATATAAAATTGCAGAATAAATCAAATGGCACGGTTATTTTTATTTTTTAATTTCTGTTCTGAAATCTGAAATGTTTGGGTGGATGTGCGATAAATGCTCGAATTATTTTTGGGGGGGGCTAATTTGGTTTTTGGAGGGGCTTAGCCCCCCCAAGCCCCCCCTTAACTTCGCCCATGAAATATGACGTTGCTTACCTTAAAAAGACTTAGGTCACTTTTAAAATAAAAATTTGTTTTGTTACAAAAAGTGAAAGAGCTTAAGTCCGTTACACACAGGTGTCTGGAAGGCAGAGAAAGTTTTCGCACGAACACGATCTGTCATATTGACGGGAAATCGTTAACAAAGTCCCCAGGAAATAGAAAAAACTTACCTCCAAATCATACCTGTTCCTAAACGTGATTTTTTCGTGAATCCGTAAATATAAATTTCATGGTTGAATAAACACAGTGAAAATTTTTCTTCATGGCTCAAATTCGGATATTTTGAACAAGACACAACATTTTTTGGCTCAAAAATGGTGAAAATTGTAGCCAGAAAAATTCTCTTTCCGAATAACACATTGAAAAATATTAATTTTGCCACAAAATATATACTCATACTCGCTTTGCTTAAAAAGCAGATTTTATTCAAAAATGCTAAATGTCCGACGTTCCGTTGGGTTGAGAATGTCCAGAAACTGTCCCTTGGGACTCAAAAAAGTTTTTAAGGGATGAAATAAGAGAGCTAAAGGTTATGAAATACTTAGATCAGTAAATAGCATTGTTAGAAATGACAACATATTTAATTCATTACAACACATTATTATTATTGCATATTTATTCAATAGCATATTTATTTAATTGATACAACTCAGTGAAGATATTATGAAATAACAGTCTGGTCGAATATATTCCAAAAGTGTGTATTTGATACAATTCATTCTTTTTCTGTGGAAATTCAAATATGTTTTGACGAGAAATCAACAACAGCTGCTTTCAATCTAAGCAGGTAATCTGGATCATCTAGATTATTAATTTTACGTCTATTCCAAAACTTTAGGAATTCTCTATGTATCGATTTGCCAGCCTGCTCGGACCATAAACCAAAACCTTCATCATCGTTCAAGAATTCGAGACTTTCTTCAATGTGGCATAGAGTAATGTGAATTTTAAGAGTTTCAGTTACGTCTATTGCGAGAAGAGCTGTCTTCAAATCTTAATTATGATGACTCAATTCAGATTTAACCCTCCTGACCGCAAAGCATGAGTGCACAATTTTATCCATAGCTCTAAAATCCGCAATGAATGGTTGAAGAGCTAGAAATCCGCCCAAGTGTTCACTGATTTCTGGTTCCAATAGCACATCTGCTCGCTTGAGTAAAGTTCTGCAGGCATTCCCTTCGAAAGCCTCTCCATGATAGTTTTTTGATACCAATTTTAATTTCTGAGGCCAGAGCAGAGCTTTTTCCTTGCCGAGAAGAGGTACGAGAACTATCCAAAATAAATTATTCACAAACCCTTGGAGAATGTGCAATTCGGGGATAATGCACTTCTGCACTATTGGAACATTACCATCCTCGACGAATAGAGGTGTATTTATGGGACTCCTGGACTTGTTCGCAACTATTTTATCGCAACCCAAAGATACAAATTCTTGATAATCTTTGCGCAGAGTTTTCTTCGCCAGAAGTTCTTCTTCGGGAAAATCTCCGTTATTTCACTTGGAACATTGAAAGTTGACTGACAGAGTTTCTGCTAGTACTTTTAAAAAACACACGGATTTATATGTGTATACTCAATCAATATTGATTTGTTTACAAATATTTGTAAACAAATTTATATTCAAGCGAGCGAAGGACGCTCCCACGGCTTCCTCACCTACGAAAAACCTCGGCATTGATAGAGTTGTATTTTGAATGAAACGACCGGGCCTAGTTGCGGTCGAATACATGCTAATCGGGAAGATTGTGTGTGTACTCTCTATATGTACAGATCCCTGAATCATATTAAAATCTCGAAAATTTCAGGGATTTATATCCAGAGGCTGGAAATGAGTTGTTTTTTTGCAGAAAAAGCCAGCGCCTTTTCTTGTGTGTAAAAAAGAACCTTGTCACTGAATCCCAGTTTGTGAAATTCGGAGACAATGTTTTTGCCCAATTTCGACCCAACCGAACGTCGGACATTTAGCATTTTTGAATAAAATCTGCTTTTTAAGCAAAGCGAGTATGAGTACATATTATGTGGCTCTGCTCATATATAATGGCAAAATTAATATTTTTCAACGTGTTATTCGGAAAGAGAATTTTTCTGGCTACAATTTTCACCATTTTTAAGCCAAAAAATGTTGTGTCTTGTTTAAAATTTCCGAATTTGAGCCATGAAGAAAAATTTTCACTGTGTTTATTCAACCATGAAATTTATATTTACGGATTCACGAAAAAATCACGTTTAGGAACAGGTATGATTTGGAGGTAAATTTTTTCTATTTCCTGGGGACTTTGTTAACGATTTCCCGTCAATATGGCAGATCGTGTTCGTTTGAGAACTTTCTCTGCCTTCCAGACACCTGTGTACATATAGCTTAAAAAATAGAAATAAAAACATTTAAATTATATTTTTAGATAATAGAAATAAATTTAGTAACAAGTTATTCGTTAACATTCTCAGTATGTGGGAGTGATTTGAAGTAATTATGGTGTTCCGGAGGTATATACCGCAATAAGTCCATCATGTGTCGGTATTTTAGTGATGTGATGCTTCTTATACTTTTATATAACGATGGCAATACAATATTCCCAAATTTTTTAGGTCTACCCCGACGTGGCAATAAATCAAGAATTTTAAATTCTGCGTTCTCATCCATGGTTGTTTTGTATAAAATTTTATATGGTTCATTTCTTAAAAATCGCATCCAGCATATTTGAAGCCAGTTTATTTTTTTTCTGTTGGTATTTTTGAATCTTTTGTAAACTGCTTCTTCCAAGAGTCTTGTTGATATAAAATCCTCTTGTTTTATTTCATTTAATATGAAAGTAATACCATTTTTACATTTTTTAATTATATTATAATAATCTTGTGGCACATACAATAAGTGATTTCTTTTTAACGACATTTCTATAACGCCAAAATCTCTGTCATTAGGTAAAAATGAATGCTCTGATATTAAAAATTTGTGGTCTATGATTTCCACATCATTTTTCATCGATAGAATTTTTAACCACATTAAAGTTATTTTGATGTTTCTGTTTAGTCCTCCACACATGTCACTATATGATGTGTTTTTCACCTTTCAGGGTTTTTAGGTGTCTCAAGAGGCATGAAGCCACTTCTTGGGAACCTCTAGAAGCTTTTTTTTTCATCCCAAACGTACATGTATACATTATCGTTGTGGAAATTGTGTATGCCTAAATTTAAAATATACATGTTACATTTATAATTAGCTACTGAAGTAATTAACTTTGGGAATGGTAACGCTTTCTGCAAATCGAAAGAAAAGCCAAAATAATGAAACGGATTACTTGATACTCGCTCTTGATCTTGTTTTAACGTATTTCTAGCCGATTCTGCTAGCTTCAAATGAATATCATGTTCTTCCATAAGTTTTTTCTGTTCTTCATGGTTTCCTGATGCTTTGATTTTAATGTTTAATAGATCACATCTTTGACATGTGTCTTTGCGTAATTGGTGGAAATGTAGATTAAAATCCTTTTTGAATATTTTTCTATAAGTCCATTCATTAACTGCTTTTAAATTATTTTCTTCACAGTGAAGCTCATAAAAATTAAACATTTTTTTTTATAGTTAATTCAGGATGAAGATATTTTCTGTCGGGATTATGGTCCCTAGTATAATGGGATTCAAATTTCGGGAAACTGTTAATATGGTTTTGAACAATCATATTTGCTTCATCACATATTTTTCTCGACGATCCACGTAAATCGTTGCCAACGTTTTTAGATTTTAATACACGTTTCAATCGTCCTTCGCTTATTTGAAAAGTATCTAAAAAAAATTTTTTACGAACCGCAACTTTGCCTGTTTTATAATTTAACCAATACGTAAAACTCTCATTTCTACATGAACCTTTTCCATTTTTCTGAGGTCTTCTTCGTATAGCAATATATTTTGCTTATTAAAGTCTCCTAAGTTCCAAAACAGTTCGAAAATACGTTTTCTTTCTGTTTCATTTAAATTTTTCAAGCAGTCTTTTCGGCATTGGCAATCTTCATTTTAAAAAACTTTGGCAGGAATAATTTTTCCCGATTGTGTATCGTATCTTTTCCCTGAATTCCGTTTAACCCATTAGCGCCCAGTGATACCATATGGTATCGCTATATTAGTCTTTCTCTGGACGACGGCCATTTAACTAATATCGGTGGAGGAATAATTTCGGCCGCTGCATTGGTTTCGGGTATCATTAGCAGTCGCAGTAAAACTGTTTTGGTGAGTGGTTGTTAATTTATGAACTTAAGAACACGTGTTTGTTAGCACCGCGGTTTACATAAACAAGAAAACATGGACCTTCGCTTCGAGTAAGTAATTTTTTTTCAAGTTCTTTGTAGTTTTTGTTAAATATAAATTTTCCTATTGAATTGAAATGGTGTAAAGAGCAATATGTAAGGTAAAGGTATTTATTTTTTATTAGCGTGACGTTATAAAATGGCCATAAAATTTGATGATACCATATGGTAACACTGGGCGTTAGGACTACTACATTTATATTTTTTTCAGACGTGGATTTTCATTATCGGAGGCGTTGGATATGGTTTACGCAGATGACGATTTTGTAAATGGAATAGACGGAATATTTATTGAACCTCCTGAACCCAACGTAGACACCGATGAAGATTCTGCTGACGAAAATGATGGGGGTATGATTCATAACCTAACAGGTCGCCAGTTACGTGCTCCCGCGGAGATAAAATGTATAAATAATACACGCATGGGCAGCAATTATGAAGAAGTTCCCGCAGAATCAACTACACAGGCATCTACAGCTCAAAATTCTACACCATCAACTCCCCATCATAATAATATTCAGTTAGACGAGTAAATTAAGAATTATCTCCATGACAAAAAAAAAAGATTCTGTATGGATTGAAGGAGATCTCCAGCCTGCATCCTCCCGTTCGTTTCCGAAAGAAGATTACAATAGGTTTGAAAATATGTGTTGCGTAGATATTTTCAAAATATTTTTTTGATGACGAAGTGATTAATTATTTGGTTGATGAAACACAAAAATATGCCCAATTTTGTAACAATTTAGACCCACAAATAACTTCATCTCAAATAAAATGTTTCCTAGGTATCCTCATTCTAAGTGGATATAACTCACTTCCTTCTAAAAGAATGTATTGGGACGTGAAAGATGATGCCAAAAATAATTTAGTTTGTAAAACCATGCGACGAAATACGTTTCTACAAATACAAAGATTTATCCACTTTATAGATAATACCCATATGGATGCTTCGGATAAAGCTTGGAAAATACGGCATCATGGACAAAATAAAAAAGCGTTGTTTGCAAAATTTTGTTGCAGTCCCAAACCTTGCCTATGATGAAGCGATGATCAAGTATTACGGTCGACATGGATGCAAGCAATATATTCGAGGTAAACCGATCCGATTCGGGTATAAGATGTAGTGTCTAAATTCATCATCTGGGTATTTGGTCAATTTTGACCAAGGAAAAAATCCTCGCAGCAATCAAAAATATGAAGATCTGTTTGGAAAATGTTCATCACCTCTTGTACTTATGCCAAAAGAATTACATCATCCAAATTTACCCTAAAAAATATATACATGGATAACCTCTTCACGGGACTGAACTTATTCAGCTATTTGAAATTCTTGGGTTACAGTGCACTTGGTACTATTAGACAAAATTGCATTCCACAATCTTGCCCACTGGAAGACACAAAAATATTTTCTAAAAGAGAAAGAAGTGCTTCTCAACACATTTTAGAAAAAACTATGGAATTCTTCTGATACGCTGGCTAGATAATTCTGTTGTGACCATGGTTTCAACAAATAAGGGTGTTTCTCTAGTAAGTACAGTCAAGCGATATTCTCAGCAACAGAAAAAGCATATAATGATTAATCGTCTTGATGTATTGCGCAATATAACCGTCATATGGGAGGAACTGACCAAATTGACCAGGGCATTGCGAATTATAGAGTTGGTATTCGCGGTAAAAAGTGGTATTGGTCAATTTTTACGTAGATTTTGGATGTAGCAATAAACAATGCTTGGTTTTTATATAGACAAAACCACAACAAAACATCCAATCTGGACTTTCGAAGGAAGTTGGCCCAAGTTTATTTAGCACGTTATGGCATGCCACCAAAATCACCAGGTCCTGCAAGAACGTCCGTCACCCGCACTCTTTTACCAGTTATTCGGTATGATGGTATGCACCATTACGTTACTCCTTGTAATAGACGGCGTTGTGCGGGCACTGGTTGCAAGAGCTTTGGAAGAACAATGTGTTCTAAATGTGACGTTGGTCTATGTGTATCTTGTTTCGCTAGCTATCACACAATATAATGTTCTGAAATATTGTTTTGAAAAAAATATATAATTTGAATATTTAGGGTTTGTTTTCATATTTCTCAGTAGCATATACGCCCAGTGATACCATATGGTATCACCTTTTTTCTATCTAGTGGTCACATGATCTTGACTAAAATTACTT